AGATAGATAGATAGATAGATAGATAGATAGATAGATAGATAGATAGATAGATAGATAGATAGATAGAGTTCAAAAGAATATTATCCTCTGAAAATTTTAGCTTTTGTTGCACAATCATATTTATATTGTCCTTATCACATCTCCAACAAAATTTTGACAATGCTTTTCTCTACAAGCATAGTGGAGCCCAGTAAATTCTAAATATTTTTTGTTGTATAAGTCATAGTTGATACTCTTGCTATAGAAGTTAAGATACTCTCCCATTGTCTAGGCAATACAGAAGCCTCTAATTCTTTATTCCACTCATCCCTTAACATCTGCATTATTTCAGAAGATTCTGTATCATGTTCTAAGATGCCTAGTTACAGAAACATTAGCAAGACCTCTTGGATCTCATCCTTTCCCCACTTAAACTGAGAACACATTTTCAAACATTTATAACAATCTCATGTAGTTTTGTACTATATTAGGCTGGTAGTGGCTGTCAAGCAAATGTTCAAGATCACTTGTCTACTATAATTACTTAAAGTTGGATGCCATCTTTCCTCCAAAGAGCTAAAAGTAGCATCCATGACTCTTCTTCCACGTCTATCATCCCCTCAGCAATCTAGTAAGATAAATCAGTGAAGGAAAAGCTCAAGGTTACTCAGTAAACTCCTTGAGTGAGTGAAGGTTTCTCCTGAGAGCCTCAAAGTGGCTTGGATATTGATAAGCAGAGGTTAGATAACCATTTATCAGGGAAGCTTTAATTTAGTTTCCTTCTATGGATTGGGGTAGGACTTCATGGCCTAAATGTCCCCTTCCAAAGCTGTTTGATAAGATATTCTCCTTCCCCAACATACAACTAAGCATCCCTTAGTCTTCTGATGTTTGGAAATTAAGTATTCAGCTGGCAGGTGGAGCTGGAGGGAGAGAGTGAGAGAGAGATTGACTGACTAATTTTGCAGTGGGAAAGAAAAGCAAACTCTTTGCAGCAGCAGCTGCTTCTTAAGCCAAAGGATATGGCCACTGTAGCTTTTTGACAAAAATGTCAAATTCTCAGATTGTGTTCATATGACACATTTACTGGTTAACTGGTTTTAATGATACATGGAAACAGAAACAAACTATACAGACTGGGTTCACATATGCTAAATTTAAATACAATTTGGCTGGTGTGGGTCTTCTGGGCTGTGTGGCCGTGTTCTGGAAGTTTTGTTTCCTAATG